TCAAATTCAAACATTTGCCTAGGAAAAGGTCAATCATGACATATGAGAAACAACTTGGCTTAGACGTCGAAAGACCAAGTTCAAGTTCTAATTTTTGGAAATGTGACTCTGAGCAAGTACCTTATAATCTCTGAATTTCAGCTTCCCATCTATACAGACGCAGAACACAGTCCCTGCATCAGCAGCCTCAGTCCTAATCACTCAGAATTTATCATTCCAGCTAGGACACTTTTGAGAGTGATCATGTACATTGTTAACAATTAAAGCAGGACAACAGGAGTAAATCAAGAAAAGTCCTGGCAAACCATTGAACAGTCTCTTTAGTTATAGGTCCCTCATTTGTGTCCCACAAGTCTGTATTTTGACATCCACCACTATAATTATGCTCCTTAAAAGTGTGAGATGGTCTCATAGTTATCCTTGGTATAGAGTGGGTACCCAACAAATGTTTGTTTTAATTAACTAAGATAACATTTACTTCACAGAATTGCTGTAAAAGTTAAATATGTTGATATTCATGAGAGATTTTGATATATAATAAGATGCATTATTATTACAGTTGCTATAGAGATCCTGTGCTAAAGAATTTGGGAAGTTACCTGTATGGAGATGATAATCAATGTATGAAGCCCAAAAGAGATCACTAGGAGAGAGCAGATAAAGTGAGGACAAAATAGGACTCGAGGCCAAACCTTGAGAAATACTACATTTTAGACAAAGGAACAAGAAATATATATATTCTTTAGAGAAATAGGAAGATAACCAAGAGAATGTCTTTTATATATCTTTTCCTCCTAAAAATTGTTTTCATCATATCACAGAATATATCCAACTAACTTTTGAATTCTAAGCAACTGTGTGGTGCTTGGTACATGACAAATGCTAAACTAATGATTTAAAAAACCAAAAACAAATCAATGAATGAATTCCTGCATGCTGTTTTATAGAATGAATTCAGGAAAGAACTCTGGTCATTACATAAATTAGAAGGAAAGCCTTAATTGTGATGTTTTC